GGTTACGTATTGCTCGGGTAGTTGTCAATGCTTTCCAAGGAATTCACTTTACCATATTGTTTGCTTAATTTGTTGATACTACGAACACTTGGTTTTTAATTGCAAACGTTTGAATTCTCTTACTGACCAAAATAAATTTAGTAATTGCTGTCCCCAAACCCTTATCATCATTCTGTAATCTTATTTTAGTTTAAACAATTGCCATTAAGTCGTTGTCTCACGTCTTATAACAAATTATTTTATTTTTAGCAGAAGCATCAAACGAATGTCATTCTTACATTTCAAACTGCTAACGTGTACATCGGTTTTCCAGTACACGCGATTTTGTTTTTAAAATGATTTAGAAACGAGCTGATTTTACCCGAAATTGGTAAGCCTATATAGTGTTGTTGCAATTATCATATATATGATATCTTAATTTTATAATGAATTCAGCGATTGTGAAATCTATTACATTCAAATGTTCATGAAGTGTATGAAAAATTATCATACCGTAATAATTTATCGAAAGATAAAAGTTTATGCTATAAATTCTAAGTTTTTATACAAGCTTCTGTTCTTATGTTTAGGTCAACTACAAAATTGATTCTATTGCAGGCTAATTGGTAAATTTTATACTTCTATGAACTGGATGTGATGTGTCAAACTCATATGTCTGCATGTTGAAGTTCAATATTAAAGCTTTATTGTACAATTTATATTTTTGTGCCAATGAGAGCATTGAGGTGTTCATTGACCATATCTGCCAATAAATGATGTCAACGAAACTAGATGTTTGTTAGTTTAATTCTAAGTATTCTTTGATAATAATACTTTGTATAGCCTTAAAATTTTTTTTTCTTCTAGGTCTGTTTCTTAATACAAGATGATGTCTGTTTATCATGATGGGGAAAACTATGGACAACACTGTGTTTGTACTACAATGTATTTGAACGAAGAACAGATTATTTATTATTAAAAACTAGTCTCATAAGTATTAGGCATTAGAATAATGTTAGTACCCAAATGTGTGTTAAGATTTGCATAAGATTAATTATACAACATTCAATATCCATTTGTTCCTTTTGAAACCAAAACCAAAAGAATTGTAATCACTCCTTAAACTAGAAAATTCCATTTAATGTACAATTTATTTATTTTTTTAGTTTATAAAACTCCAATAAACATTTTCTCTGTTAAATGTACTAAAAAATTTACTTTTACAAATCTAAATTCTTAATAACATTTTCATAATTTATTGGATCATCTTGAAACCAAAACCAAAAGATTCATCTCGTTTTTATGTTTAAAGAAATGTCAAACTCAAGTGCACTATGTATTTTTCAGAATTTTTTATAATTTAAAAACCATTTTAATGCTTAATTTTGCACAAAATATACATTTTCAACACTAAAATCTTAATAAAACACTCAATATTTGTTGGATCATCTTGAAACCAAAACCAAAAGATTCATCTCGTTTTTATGTTTAAAGAAATGTCAAACTCAAGTGCACTATGTATTTTTCAGAATTTTTTATAATTTAAAAAACCATTTTAATGCTTAATTTTGCACAAAATATACATTTTCAACACTAAAATCTTAATAAAACACTCAATATTTGTTGGATCATCTTGAAACCAAAACCAAAAGATTCATCTCGTTTTTATGTTTAAAGAAATGTCATATTCAAGTGCACTATGTTTTTTCAGAATTTTTTATAATTAAAAAACCATTTTAATGCTTAATTTTTGCACAAAATATACATTTTCAACACTAAAATCTTAATAAAACACTCAATTTTTGTTGGATCATCTTGAAACCAAAACCAAATGATTCGGCTCGTATTTCTATCCATTGAAAAATTAACATCAACTTCATTATGTTTTATCCACATTTTTTAATTTTTAAAAAACCATTCTTCATATTTAATAATACATAGGATATACATTCAGAATATTAAAATCTTAATAAAACACTCAATATTTATTGGATCATCTTGAAACAAAAATCAAAAGATTCGTCTTGTCATTCTATTTAATGAAAAATTAATATCAACTTCATTATGGTTTTTCAGATTTTTTTATAATTAAAAAACCATTTTAATGCATGATCTTACACAGAATACACATTTACAAAAATAACTGGAATAAATATTCATTTTTCGTTAGATTATCATGAAGTAAAAATACTATTTTGGTAGGTAGTTTTAAATTTTCTTTCAATTTAGCTTTACGACAACGATCTATATTTTTTTTTAATTATTAAAAAACCATTTTAGTTTTCGATTTATCACAGAAAATACATTTTGAACACTAAAATCTTAAATAAATACTCAATATTAATAACAAGATTAATTATAGAACATTTCTTATTCATAGGTTCTTTTTGAAACCAAAATCAAAATATTCATCTTATCCTTAAATTTTAATTATAATTAACATCAGGTTGTATATTTTTTCTGGGATTTTTGAGAACAAAAAACCATTTTTCATGTTTAGTGTTTCACATGAATATATATTTTCATTACTGAAAACTGACTGACGCACTTAATAGTTATTGTTTCATCTTGAAATTAAAATCAAAAGATTTTTCTCATTATTTTATGTAAAGATTAATTAACATCAAGATCAATTTGTTTTTTTCAGAAACTTTTAATTATAAGAGTAATTTTTAAGCGAAATGTATTTTTAAGTATTTATATATACAAAATTGAATCCTTAATTACTCAATAAATAGTCATTGGATCATCTTGAAACCAAATCAAAAAGATTCGGTTTGTCATTAAGTTTAAAGAGTAACTAACATCAATTTCAATTCGTTTTTTTTCAGATATTTAAGCGGTAACAATAATTATTTTGTATTTCGCATTAACTGTATTGAGTAATTCACTCATTATTATTATAAGTTATAATCACTTATTTTATTATTATAATTTTGTACATCGAAATTTTATGTCCAAAGAAGTTGTTCGTTCGATGATTAGTGACCGTAAAAATTATATTATTAAAACATAAAAAATATTTAGTAAATAATAAGAGAAATTGTGTTAGAAAATGGATTCAAGGGCGGAATAAGTTAGTTGTTACAAATATATTAATTAAAGAACTTGTAATTGAGTATCCCAAAAGTTTTCATAATTTTTTGAACGAAGAGGTGTTTGACACATTAGCATTAGGCCAAATAATTTTTATTAAATTTAAGTTATATACTATTATGCGTTAACGAAGTTTCCAGCACTAACGTAGAATACACTCATGGTGTTAGCAAAACCTGTGTTTTCTTTTGAGCAACTCATGTGTAAAACCAAGTCTCCCTGATTCAATATCCCTTTTCTTTTACCAAAATCCATTGCAAACCTTGTACGATTTTCGATTTCTTTAGACCAAATGTTTTCTATTGGGTCTGTAACATATATATGATGTCGTTTAATGTTTTGTTAAAGAAAACATAGATTTGTAACAATATAATTTAGTTTTAATAATATAATAAAGTCAATAGAAATAATATTAAATTATTTGATAACCGCATAATAAATAGGAATACTTGTACCCGAAACTTTTGAGACACTCGCGTGTTTCAAAACATAATTTACATATTATTATTGTTGTTCTTTATTTACCAATGTATTGTAATGCTATAATATTACGCCATACTGATAACCTTCTTGCAGAGTTCCCGTGTCTGACGATCGCTAATACAGGACATCGAGGACGGTATCTGGCGACTAAACGGGCTGACAGGCCGGACATAGTGATCACGATAATAGCAGCTGCATGACATTTTAACGATACTTCTACGCACCCAATACTAATCGCATGGGCAGGATCAATTTTTGGTTTGGACTGAAAGCTCAGTGTATTATGAAATTATATTATACATCAATGTATCATGGTGTTGGTGAGGTACCTATCGTAATAATAAACACACACTCAGTGTTGAATCCAGGTATACTTCAGAGAGGACATTCGCACCCTTTGACAATTACAACTTTCAACAAAATGTACCTATTTATTAATTGCACAAATATACAATACTCGTTATGATTACCATACCTAATGTCTAAATTGTAAATTGTAATAACTAGTAATTAATGTAATTCATAATACTAAAATATATTACTGTTCACCAATGAAAAAAAAGTTAAATTTATCCTCAGATAAATTGTCTAGATTTAACACTGCACACACTCGAAAACAATCGTTTATTTAACTTATTGTTTGTTGCTGAAATAAGTTTTTTAAGACGTTAAAATAACGTTTGTACAGTTGAATATTTTGTTTTTATGCAATTTATCATATTGACATCATTCATCGATATGCATTGTGATTTCTATATATAGGTATAATAACTTGTTCGTTATAATCTAACATTCTAGTACCTATTTAGATTATTTTATTAAGTAATTTATAATTTTATTTTAAACCTGTCTATAAAAATTAAATTCTCCTATAAAAAATATATATTTATTGGTTTAAACGTGTATGATAGATATATGATAATTAATAATACTGTAACGTTGGTTTATTTTTACCTTTTTGTTGAGTTCGGTGAATAACTGTTGTTCCCATACGGTTGCTTCGCCCTGCCGGCACAGTGAAGATGCGTAATGAATGCAATGTGATTTATTTGCACTGCGCATCGTTACATCCAGATAAATGCAATCGGTTCCATCCATTACAGTACTTATGAGGTCATTTACTTCGGCGTTTGTTGGTATCGTACCAACTTCCATGGAACTTAGATATTGCCCATACGTGATAGTCGGTTTTCCAGCCTGTATGTACCATTTGCGTTATATTTTGAATAATCAAACTATTGTTTATGTATTATAATGTTATTATGTAAAATTGGTGTTGATCAAAATTAATATTGTATTCAAACGTTTTTAAAATATCGACTACGTTTTACATTTTTTTTTTTTTTTTTTTTATTAAAAGAAACTTTGTAAACAATTAGCTTCGACAATTATGGTGGTAAATTAATATTACAGATAAATTAAATTTTTAAACCAGTCTGGTTGAAGAAGGATATAAGTGAGGTAATAATTGGTACATTTGGTGAAGAGAGAATGGATTGAATGTCGAAACGTTTTACATTATTAACAGTATTTTATTTTGATATTACAAATACGGAAATAGTGCAGTCACTGTCCTAAAAACTTACAACGTTACATTTAGATAAGATAATCTTCTGAGCCAGAAATATTTTGTCATAACCAATCTCCATGGATAAATTCGGTCGGTTCAGGAAAACACCATCCACAACTGGTAATATGTCATCGAAGTTCTCAAGTCCTACAGTATTATCAATTTTTGCATACAGGCTAATGTTCCCACCTCGTTCTGTATCTTTAAAAAAAAACCGTATGGAACAACATAAACGAAAATATTTCTTTCATTAAGAGAACCACTAAAAGTAAATTCGTATACGAACGTAGATAGTGTGACAAGTTTGGGCATTAGATAAAACACAAGATTTTATTTAATGACAAAATTCTAGGAATATATTACAATTTTAATACTACAACACTAAAATGAATCATTTCGTCGGTTATAGTGACTTCATACTCAGCTTACAGACAAATTCGCGAACGTGGTTGAAAAACGCAGAGTTCCTTACGCCAGGAATCAAGATTACGTCCACTTTGAGTTTGATTGCTGTACGAATATTTTTTTCGTCCAATTTAGAAAGTGCCGTCAAGCCAATTGGAGTTCTTGGCATATGCACTGCTTTTTCGGAACCCAAAAATCCTCCTCGTTTTATCTCGCAATACACTTCATTTTCGTCTGAGCAGAAAATAAAATAATGACATTTTTGGTATCATGATTGCCACGAGAATATATATCCCATTGATAGTGTTCCATGCTTATTACAATAAAACTTAAAAGAATAATATTTACACATGTTTACCGACTCTAATCACGGCTAGTTCGATTTTTCCATAATCTAAATAGATCCGATCATTAGTTTTGAGTCGAAGAATAAAATCGCTGTTCACATAAATACGATCCTCTGTACACTTGAATTTGTACTCGACGTCGTTGGTGACATAAACATGGGCGTTCGACGATAATTCTATCAAACATTTTTTGGGCTAATTAAGTAAAAATAAGTTTTATGTAATTTTTTTTATTCATGCGACAGTAATAATTTATTTTAGAAATAACATGTTTTATGATTTCGAGACTTTTATATATTATTATTATACTTTTTCATTAATTATCAATTTATCTATTGAAATGTTGAAATGAGCCACTTGAATATTTTTTTTTTTTAGAAATCATAATCATTTATTTATCATAATTTTAAATCAATATTTATTACTGTTGTATGGAATATGCTTCCAGTCGTTATACAAGATCCTTCAAGATCAAGTACTAATGTCATTGAATACGGTATTTGATTGTTCTTTTTAAGACTATAATTAAAAATCCCTTGGCGAATTTCTAAGACCATTTTTTGACTTTGTTCAAATGATAAGTCATTAAAATCAAATATTACCATAGATACGCCTCTTTCACAAAGTTCTTCAATTATTCTTTTTGTCACGTTAAGTGCTGAAATAATATACAAATATTGATTCATTGACATGAAATCGTAATTCATTTTTATCGATACATGTAAATATATATACGTACAAACACCACAAGCTATAGTGGTTAATGTATTTTGTGATGGATTTGATTCGATTTTTAAATTGCTTAAATGGTCGAGGTAGTTGTCCTCAAAAGAAGCTTTCATTTGCATTTCATTATCATAGCAAGGTTCCTTTATATATATTTTATTTTATTTAAACAGATTTAACACATAAAAAATTTACTAATTCTATTGATATTCTTACCCAGGAGTACACGATACACGATTCTTCGACTTTAGGTATATTTGTAGAGTCCATTTTTTCAATGTATTTCCAAAATTAATTATAATACAAAATAAATTTTAAATAAATTTAATTTAAAACAATTAAAATCAACTCTGTTTGCACTAATTAAAAGTCTGTTTAATAAACGTTGTCTAAGAAACCCTTGGATTTTAACATAATGCCAAAGAAATGTAATTATTTAAATGAAAAATCTAAATAGTATTTAATTATTCAAAAAAAAAAAAATTTATCTCACTAATATTATATGATAATTTAATGGATTATGAGAAAATGACTTTAAAGTAGATTATACACTAGGCGATTCGAACGTGCGCGTCAGCGTTTTTAAAAAGTCGCGATTAATCGTTCTAAATTAAACATGTACTTTTATATGTGTTTATTCATACACGTAAATAAGACGCGCGTTCAGTCGCATTCGAAGTCGTCGAAACGCTTATGTTTAATTTTGAGCGTTTGGTCGCGATTCGCAGCTATAATAAAACATTATTTTTCCAATGTATTCCCGGCATTTCAATATGCACGGGTGATTTAAAATCTGCGATTGTCCCTCGTTTACTTATGTTCATTCATAATCTGTTTCTTGTCCTAATAATTTACTAAGTTACAGTTGTTACACAGCTAGTTAGTTGTCACTTAAGTATAATATTTACATATTTACCTAAGTATTTTAAAATGTTGTCAAATATGTTTGACAATGAATTATTCATTATTTAGGCGTCGAAAGAAGAATCTATATGGAATATAGGTAAATTGTTTTCATTAAAATACTTGATTATTTTAATTTAGAATCTAACTAATTTAGTTATTTTGAGTATGTGCACCGCCTATGATCTAATATTATACGTAAAACGCCATTCATAATAATATTACATATTGCATTTATAGAAAATAAAATATTCTATGATAAGATTGCCAAACATGTAAGTTGGACCAAGGTAGTCAGAGCTTCAATCAAAATCATTTCGTGATAGTTACTGCCGTAAATACATATCTAAATTTTTACAAGCATATAAAAAGTCAACGCCGTATATTTATGTAAATATATTAGGATTTTTAGCACTGATCATGCAAAATTGAACGCAAGTAATCCCAGAAAAATATTTATATATTAGGTAACTGTAAGTAGATAGTTTATATTTAAGTAGATATATAAATCACTTTGAAACTCAAATACGAATGATCGTATAGATAGGTATTTATAATCGTCACCAAATTATTAAATTAACAATTTTTATGTATGTCATATACGCTACATGTATAATATAAAAATAAATTATTTTTTAATATTAAAAATAAAAAAAGTTGGGCAAGTGGATTTCGCTTTGCTGTATAGTAGGTTACAAGTGGTTCACTGTAATGGATGGTATTAAATTTTAATTCAATGATTAAACATCAATGTATGTATATGATTCTTAGCAAAGACAGTATGTTAGCCTAAAAGATAACGAAAGACACCAAAAAAATTAGAAAAAAAAAACACACATCATTGTAAAATCAATACATTTATCGCTCCGCTCAGAATCTAAAATTTAAAATAGCCAATTTGTAAATCTGATTATAAGAATAATTTTATTTTGATGGTAAAATATTTATCTTAGTCATGTAGTTTATTTTTTTAAATTATCAATATTTTTTTGAATAAATTAATTTAGAACGTAGGTAGGTACCTACTACTGTTTTTAAAATATTATTTTTGGGAACTTTTTTGACATGTGTATATTTTTTAAATTATAATTTAATAATACTATATAGTGATTATTGTACATTTTGTAAAGTATGCAATTTTAATTAATTAGGTATCTACAGTGTTAAGTTTTTAATACACGATAAATTTCCGGAAAAATTTTTCCAGGGGAAAAAAGGACGCCAATATATTTTTGCACCTAAGGCGCCAAAATCGTAAATACGATTTTGCTGCAGTTTTATTTATTTAATTTAAATAAATTATAGTTAAATTGGTAAATTGGGCAAGTCTTAAGTAGATACCAAGCTAATATAAGACATTATATATTTAACAATAAATAATATAAAATCAATATTGGTGGATACATGTTAAGTATGTATTTTTACATTTTTTTCCTACGTTCGTTTGTGAGAAGCAATCAGAAAATCCAGCTGTGACCTGTAAGACATTTTTTTTATCTTTATTGTATAAAAATATAATAGTTAGGTACTTAAAATAATTCTAATTTAATATTCTTTTGGGTGGTTACATAGAATATCGAAAATTATGACAAAAGCTTAGTCTAAGACACTTAAAAGCTTTTCCATACTTATACTACTTTTTATGTACAGTAAATTGTACGAAACAATAACAGTTAATACCTGCTAACCTATTACACTGTTAGATACATTTAGTCGAATAATTTAAACATCCAAACATATTATGAAATGTTATGATGGTCGTCAGCGCAGCGATGTAACAAAACTATTATGTCGTACAGTGGACACACGTAAATTCAAAAATTTACATAAAGAATGATAGCGATGATACCACATAATAACATTAGGTGAACGATGTACGTATAATAAGTAGTTAAGGTATAGTTTTTGATTCTTCGTATACATAATATTATACAAATATTATCAATGTTCAATGTACCGAACGAGTAAAATACACATCGTATTATAATTAATGTTTAATGTACAGAGTGCATGTCGTATGCGTAAAATAAATTTTACAATGACATCATTATAAAACGTCTAAGTATCACAGTATAATTATACAAATTCGTCGATGTGCATAAACGCTATTAACACTGTTCAAACTTGTGTGTACAATAGTCCAATAACAATAATTTTAAATGAGTTTCTGCATTACGCGTACTACACCGTGTGGAGATAATCGGTGCACGATCAATGAATTCATATTACCCATATTGTTATATTGCACATACGACCGTGACAATGACGCACTCGATGTCCACCGAAAATCTGTGTGTTTTAAGTCCATAAAAATAAAAATATTCGAGTCATGCGAATCAGTAAGCGACGGTTGTGTGTTTGCGGCGCGCTAAGTCGAAATGTCGCGGACTTAATGTACCATTAATCAGTTAATTAATTAGTACACTTAGACGTCAATTCGTACATTTCTTAACACCCCCCAAAATGAACACTCGCTCAGTAAGTTAAACCTAGTTTACGTCCCTCGTAAAATAATAATAATACTACAGTTTTTTTTTTTTTAAATTTTTATTCGTTTAACGTTTCGTCTAACGCGTGGACGTGTGGCTAATTGAATCGAGGTGCGTTTTGAAAAGTTTCAGACTATCAGTCCATTTTATTTGCCTAGTTGTTATTGAGCCAAGCATTTGTCTTACAGTTAATTAGAAAAAGTCTACAACGCGTACGAAAGACTGTTTTGAACTCGCTGCACGGTTGGTGGTGGTGATACGCTAATATTAGCCACGAAAAGGTAAAAATAATAGATATTGTATTATTGTAATTGGTTATATAGATGATATTGTATATTTATTTTTTATTATTTAAAAAAATGATTTGCATTGTTATTAAAGGTACTCTTAAATAGATATTCTTATACAATTGATGGAAATATATTTATATGTATACATTTTTTTAAGACTGTGTGGTAGGTACCTATAAAGTATAAGATATATAATATTATTGTCCATACGCTACATGCCGCTACTCACGTTAGAACTTATTTAATAATTTTAACATGTTTAGTATTGGTAGTAATAATTGTTAGACTTGAGAATAGGAACAATAACTAAGGAAAAATTAGATTGGTATTAATTCGTTTAGTGTCAAAAAGCGTATGTGGACCAATAGATACGGGCGATTGTACATTTTACCGATGAAGACCTTTTTAAACCTTTTGTAAAGCAAATTACACCAAGTTTTTTACATTTAATAAAATTTAAATTATGTAAATAATAGGTGCTTGTATATTGTATACGCAGATTTATTGTGTACAATGTATATATATATTGTATTTATGTACCTTTTTTATATATTATATAAAATAAAAAAATTTACAATCTGTATACAAATAATGCAATACATAAATTGTATTGACATTTATTTAATTTAACTAGGCTGGACGACTTGAGGAAAGAGAGCATCCATGAAACTATTTCTAATAAATAAATATTTATATGTTAAAATCTTTTTTTAAACTAATTTAAAAAAAAATGTATAATAACCAATAATGAGTTCTTGAAATATAATAAAAATTAAATTGTAAAAAGAAATAAAATTATTAATAATGAACGGCTAGTTGAAATAAAAAAAATATAATTACTTAAATAACATTTAAGTATTTAATTTATATTAATCATGATTAAATGCTACAGTTTTAATGAATTGCATCGTCGTAATATGTTTTTCCTTGAATGACAAAATTATAGTATTTAATTATTTTAAATGTATTTTTCATGGAAAATTTCTGAAATAAGTTTCGTTAATGCTGTTTAATTTAATGTAAATGTAATTTTAAATTTTTCAATATAAAAAAACAAAAAACAAAAAAGTATTACAACCACTTATAGCATGTAAAAATAAAATGGATTGTTTAATTCTATTAACTTTTTGAGCTTCATTAATAAAATAAAAACGCTTTTTTTTAGTTATTTATTATATTTTATTCAAAACTCAAATACTAGTATAACGTAAAAAATATTTTATATTGTTTTTTTTAAAAATATGTCAATAAAAATATTTAATTGTTTTTATTGTTTACACCGAGGTAAATTATTATAGTATCATATTGTGTACGATTACTTAAATTAATTTAAATGTAAATGTGTAATATTACTATTAGGTAAGTAATTAGAGTACCTACCTATTTATACAGGACCTATTTTTGCGTATATACCAAATCAATTGTGTGCCCGGATTTTTATGTAACAAATATTGTTGAATCTGCACTTATTTATACACATAAAAATTCAAAAATATGTAAGCAAGTCCTTAATTATTCGCTTAAAATGTCTAAATATTTTAAAAACCATAACAAAATGTATGATAATTAAAGAAAATAATTGTAGAAATAAAAAAATAGAATTTAAATTACAACCAAGTTATTTACCATTTATTATTTTATCATTGATAAATTATATTATCATCATATTTATATAAATATAAAATGAAAGACAAAATGTAATAATATTAATTTTGGAACGAATACCAACAAAATGAGATCTATAATTTTCAAACTGGAAACTTTTGCGATTGTAGTATATTATTATAAATATAGGTATACTTAGAAAAATTTGATTTTGTGTCACAACTCACAAGACTCTATATTCAAAACAAAAATTGTATTTAAGTGTCAATTTCTTAATACTTGCATTATTGTTGTTTATTGTTTCAACCCTTTTTATTACGTAATGACAGCTGATAGCATCAATGTTAAACGCGCCATTCAGACGATTATTTTAAGTTATTTGACGACAGAAATAGTGGCTCAAAATAGCTTTTATAAGAGATCAAACCACTTCTGAATAAAATTTAAAATAATTTTGATTTATTTTCCATAAAATATGCAACTTTTGTGCAAAATAAAATATTGACTATTGAATCAACACATTACAAAACACCAACATTTTTAATCAAAATCATTCTAGGTGAATCGTTGAAGAATATGCATTAACATAAAAATCCGAACCCTAGACTTATATAGAATAATAAAATGTGTAGTTATTATGGTTAACTAATTGATGGTTAGATCATAATCGTTGAACATATTAATTTTTATTTATTCATTTTATTCATGTTGTTTACTATTCTATGGCTAATATATTTTATTTATAAACTGTGTAAAATCATCAAGTTTATTATTGTGGTATTTAATTATTTTCTTAACTTATTCGTTAATATATTATTATTTATTATTTATATTAAATAACTGCATTTCTAAAAATCAAATAAAAAGTAGAAAGACCAAAAATAAAAATAGTTTTTTTTTTTCATTAAAAATTTACATAGCAATTTATTTCTACAATTGTATATTAAAATAATGTATTTAACAGTAAATAAAAGAATAATAAATATTTATAACTAATTGAATAATAATGATTTAAATTAGCCAGACTAGTCTCGAGAATAGAGGAGATTATATTTTTCTTCAGAATTAAAATTTAGAAACAATAGAGGAATTAGTTAAATATTTTGAGATTAAAGAAAAAAAAAGAAACGAATATAAATATTGTTATAAACAAATATTAACGCAAACACGTCGCAACACACTGATATACATCAAAACAAATATACAGGTACATGGATTTTAACGTTTATTTATCCGCGTATTTTATTTACACGGTTTTAAACAAAGTTTTGTTAAAAAAACACGTGTATTTGTGTTTTTGTATGCCCGTGAAATAGGGATGTATCTGTATTCTAGCGCGTACAGTATCATTGATGCAGCACACAAAGTAAAGTAATCCTTTTTTTTTTTTACAACCAATTAAAAAAAAATTTCTTTGATTTATTATTTATCAAATCCACAATCTGAAAATATGATTTGAAGGTGGTATATTGCATATTAGTTATTTGAAGTGATGGGCAACAATATAGATTAATTATTTTCCGATATATAGCAATATCGAAAAATTGTATATTATATTGTTTTTTAAGAAACGCATTTTGATTTGTAGATTCTAAGGCATCTAAGCTATAATAAATTAAATTGTATTGTAGTACAAATACGTACGATTTAGGTTTACTAATAATATCTATAGGTATTAAAATATAGCATTAATTAAGTAAATGAGTTACATTCTTTAGCGTGATGTAAATTTTGTTAAGAAAAAAGGATTTCGATATCGCAATACATCTGTAAATTGTGAAAGATATCGATATTTGAAATTATATCATTGCCCATGCACGTAAAGAATTCCAATGTGTTTAATATAATGATAATTTTTTAATTTTAAATGTCTAAATCAAAAATATTAATTAAAATGTTATCGGAGATGACAAAAGATGTATAACACTTAGTGCACAAAAACTGTAAGATAATTTATTACATAAATTATTACATAATGCGTTTCTTATTTTGTTATTACAGTTCAATTGATTTTTATTGTTCCTTTTAAAGTTTTATTAACCACTAGAAATTCAACGATTTTAAGATTGTAAGGCGACTAGTTAAATTCTGTATTTCATGCATTATACAGCGCACAGTGTAAATTAATTCTAACATGCAGAACAAACAAAAGTAGACAACTATAAAAAGATTGAAGATAAAAAAAATAGTTTTAATAGTTAAATAAATAATTTTTAACGTTTAAAAAAAAAACTTTTAATTTGTTTATTTTTATCTAAAACAAATATAGTAGGTAAAGACCTTCAAATATCTATATCGCTGTACTGATGTACTCCATTAAGAAATGAGTTGTATTTGAAGAGCGATACGGTCATCACGTCATATCGATAAATTAAATAAATAGTTGGTAGATAGGTTTTCAGTATAATTTAAACGGTTTTATTTCCATTGAAGTATAAGAATCAATTTTAACTATTATTATATTTAAATTATAATGTTAAATGAACAACGAAATCGTGTATATTATAACTTTTTTCATGTGAAATATTTGAAATATTAAATACAATTAATTCATATTAACAAATATTTTAATATTATTAGGTATATATTTTAGTATAAATATATTCAAATACATTAATTTAATCGATTGATTGGGAAGGACGTCGTACTTGTATGTGTTTCTAACGTATACCATTCTTAATTATTTGTTCTGTAGTAGTTCTAATTTTGTGTGTTAAACTTCAAAATTAGATTGAAATTAACTATTGTCAAACTTAAAGATAAGAACATTATCTATGTTCTCTCGTCGTTTTTTACGGTATTTTAATTTTTAAGTAAGTTACAAACATGTAAAATAATAATATTTAAAAATGCTCATAATTTAATTTAAATGATTATTTTAGTGAATGATAAGATGTTCAAAATATTTTGAATCTTTATAAGTTATTTAAAGACATTTTATGTTTTTTTTTAGTCCGGTTTTTAGAAATCTTGATACAAATTTTTTATCAGGTTAAATATATATTAATAAAATATAAAGTATATTTTAATACGAAATTCCACATAGATAAGTTGTTCTTATGTAGAATATGTGATAAAATATATTTATATGATTTATTTTTTATGCTTTATAAGCATTTAAATTCACCAAAATCTAAAAATTTGAAAATTGTTTTGAAATTGAAAAATATGGAATATTTATTACTTTTATAGCATAGTTTGTTAGGTTGAAACCAAAAAATTAATTATTAAATTCAACATGATTTTTATTTATTTATTTTTTTTTGTGGATTGTTACACAAAATAATATGATATTTAAATTATTTATTGTTTCGTTTTAGTTCAAAACCATTATTTTTAGAGACATTATTAGTAAAGACTTATACGTGTATTTTTATATTTTTAAATGTTTTCCACAAAAAATAATTTAACCAGCTTTCTGTATTACTAATTTAATATTTATATAATTTATATTTTACTAATAAACATTAACTAACAGCAATAACAAAAACTATAATATGAAATATACTTAGTATCTGATAGACCGTATCCGTTTTAAATTGTTTTTTGCATAAAATGATATAGGTAGGGTATATTCAAAGGATTTTTGTCTAAAACGAAATTTTCAAAAATTCCAAAATTACGCAATTAAGTGCATATTCATATGAATAGTACATACCGTTTTAAAATGATTTTTATAAGACATGTTAAATCCTCAATTTTATTTGAAATTTGTATTTATCTTAACTTTTATACCTATATTATAAATAATAAGCAATTAAATATTTAAACTTTAAGGGCATATTAAAATATACTTAATACTTATATATAACATTACATAACATTTTCAATATGGGTACTGAATATTGAACATGGATTTATAATTTTTTAAACTTTTTGATAATAATTAACAAATTAAAATGAAATAATAATGATAATAAAAAATTTATATTTTTTAAATAAATGTATGCTTATTAAAAATTGATAATTTTATATTATTTTATTTTATACTAGTGACATTTGATTCAGTAGCGTGTGCTACAGGCGTGTATATCCACAAAATACGAATACTATTTTAATACAAAATATACTAAAAACTAAACTTATAAAACAAAGTACGGCTATAGAATATAAAATATGCGCATGAATGATAATAATACGATAACATATAATATATGTACAAATAAAGTAGTAAGTAATTAAAAGTTTAAATGATAATAATTTAATGATTTAATGTTAATCAGACATGTTAAAATCATTTTTCTGTTAATTTTCGGGTTATTTCGGATTATTTCGGATTATCAGTGGTTACCACGCCACTCATTTCCGCGGATAATTGAAAGTTTATTGAATATTTAATACAATAATGCATTTTATTATTTTTATTACATAGATAAATTAAATTTTTTTTATATTATTTTATTTTAAAAATATTTATTTTGTACTCTGTTTTGTAACTCTATAACTTAGGATTGTTAGGAATTGGATTAAAAAAACTGTTTGCAAATATGAGTTAAGTATACGTAAATAAATTAATAATTATGGGTTACTAATTTAAATATTGTAAGTATTAATGCACTTCGATGGCAATAAGATACAATTAATATTTTATTTAGCTTACATCCCTGGAATATTGAAAATATTTAGAGATTCATTATTATTTTAACCTTTTTTTGTCCTTTAAGGCACTGTATAGTTATTGATCTCTTGGTTTATTTGATTTATTTATTTATAATAAAAATCAACGGGCATAAGCCCTTTAACTGATAGAATAATACAGAAACATTGGCACATCTAAAATAAAATACAAAATAGTGATAATTAGAATAACCATCACAGAAAATATAATAAAAAAATGAAGAGTATTAATTTTTATTTTGTGAAAGACGACCAAAAATGTCACCAATAATATGGCTAGGTATACGAGTAGCATATAGTTGGAACATATAGACAAACGCATCAGTTGCTTTTTATGTCAATTTATTAGTTGAAAAAATGTATTAGGTAATTTGAAATAAATCTAAAAAAAAAAAATATTCGGCAAAACTATTAAATCTATTGCACGAAATTGAAAATAGCTGAAACGTATAGTTATATTTTTTATGTCTTCAAGCGATACGCATCACTGTCACTATCAACAACACATGGAATATGCGTTAAAATATTTTTCAAGTAGGTATTCCGAGAAATAAACAGCACATCGCATATTATAATTATAATAATTTTTAGGAGGTAACATGGACAAATAGTGTATCAGTACTTGGCAATTTTTGATCACTATTGACATTGACCGTTACAAATATTTACAATAATATAATAAGTAAACATTTTAGATAAGTACCTACTACTGTAACTACTAATTATTTACGTACTTATTCATGTGTTTTAAATAAACAAGTTTTTTTTCCTCATATTTCAAACACGATAATATAATTTACAATGTGGATTAGCAGATATAATATTTAAACAAGTACTTATTCCATGTACTTTTCACCTATTTAATATTAGTATAGTGTTAACCGATAAACGACATACCTAACCCATTTTACTTTGACCATTTCAGATGAATCGGTTTGATTTACGCTGTGAGTGTCTGATTGTAATTTTAATTTTTCTAGCTACATTATCAGATATCCACCGAGAGTGACATTCCATGTTCAGTTTATTTTAGCCATCGAGATCATGGATGATCAAAAAGAATTTGTAAATGTTAATCTGAACGTATGTATAATCAATTTTTTATTTAATAAGTATAATTTATTGTACCGGATGCTGTAATATCGTTCATTGTTAATAAAACGTTAATACATATTAATATTGCTTAAATTGTCTTAATAATTCATCAATTATTGACATTTTAAATAAAAAATTTTTGTTGGATTACTTACAAGATAAATAATCGATCTTATTTTGTGGCGTTGAAGTAAAAAAGTAAATATAGAAAAAACTCAAATCAATCAGCCCACTTACCAGCAATTAAATTATTTATTATTTTTTTTTTTAACTTTTTTACTAATACTAACAAGGATTTAGTAGATATATCACGAGTATGTTGTTATTTTTAGAATAACAATAATACCTTTATACTATGCATGTGTGCGTGTGTGTACTTTTGATAGACGCCAATCGAATAATTTTTCACTTTCATCTATTTTAATCCCATAAAAATATAAAATATTAAAATTAAACATTTTTATACTTGATAAAAATATACATTTATAGAAAAATTGATCACGTTAAACATTAGTAAGATGGAGATAACTTATGCAGGTATAATATTCCCTTTAAACTTTCAAATCCGGTTAATCTGTTAACTATGACATATTTTGGATTTTTCAATTTTTAAATACCTCACGATGCCAATAAAAAATATAAGGATAATACTTAAGTACCATCGAATAGGTTTATTTGATACATTTAAAATCCACGTGAGCATTATTTAAAGATTAATAGAATAAATATCTTGAAATAATGACTTATAATAAAACTACTATATAAAACCTTATAATTCCACATTTTCCATACAAGAATTGAAATATATCATAATGCTATTGATAACTTGAACTTTTAATTTATTTATTTTTAGTCGAACGAGTTCATAATATCGTCTCAGTCGATTGACCACCCCAACAATTCGAACTTTAAGAACACTGAAGGACTGTCGATAACTTACGGTATTGACGATAATCCACCATGGTATTTATGCATCTTCATGGCTCTGCAAGTATGTATTAATGTCGGTTAATCCTTAATTGTATCAGATTCTAAATAAAAAGAAATTGGCAAGTACCTAAGTAACCGCTCTGCTGTACAGTTGGAGTCATGTGTACCCTAACCTAACATTCAGGGATTGAGTAGATTACTTTAATGAGTACTTACGTAAAATTTGAATTCAATGATAAACGTGTAACCTTGTATTAAATTGTTAAGTCTTAGCTATAAATATTTTATATTTTATATATTTTTAACTAAAGAATAATAAAAAAAAAAAATAAACTTGCTCATATAGGTATTTCAAATAGTTTTAAATAATTGGCAAATTAATAATTATTCATTTTGGATAATAATTTATTAATTTTTTAAGCATAATGACCAAGTTTAAAATTTTTTTATTACTTATACTAAGAAATTAAAAAAATTTAAAATTACATAACTCATTTAGGATTAGTATGAATACCTACTTTGAAAAATCTGATTTGAAGATAAAATGGCATTATACTTTTAAAATGTCAAAAATTAAGCTTTAATTACCCATAAAAATCTTTTCTGATTTCACAACACATTTTTTGCTTTAATTTCTAGAAAATAAGGAATCTTGTATCAAATTTTTAATGATTAGATGATTAAGTTATGAATTTCATAGACTATTTAATTTAAAAATAATTTACGGCTATTTAACAAAGCTTATGAATAATGTTTTTATTCAATTTTCAATTTTTTTTTTATTTGAAATCAAAGATTTATCATATTTGGGTAGTTGAAAAAATAATCGGTCAAATATCTATAAATAGCACAAAAGAGCCAACATATTAAAAAAATTATGTCATGTGTTGTAGATGATTATTTGGTTGAAATACAAAGTTTCTGCAGTTATTAATTTTTGAATTATGTGGTTTTATAAAAATCATAAAATTGATTTAAGTGAAAAACTAGTTTATAAAAATGTCCGTTTTCAGTAAATATTTTACTGTTTTTCTCAATTATTTTTTAAATAATACAGAGAATTTTCATTTTTAATCTAGTATCATTTATATCCAATTTGCTACTAAACACGATTTTCGAAAATGAAAAGAATTTTTTACTAAAACTTGTGAACACAAAAAAAAAATAAACATACGTAATTGTAAAATCAATACATTTATTATTTTGTTCAGAATTTAAAATTTAAATAAACGAATAAAAAAAAAAATACGATCTAAAATATTGATTTTTTTAGTTTATCTACATCATATTATATATAAAGTAAAACAAATTTATAATTATATTATTAATATTTTAAAATATAATTATACCTACTTAAATACATTTTTTAGTATTTTTGCATTAAAAATATTTATCAAATATTATTTTGGTTTTTAAACAGCTTCTAGAATTATAGAATGTGGACTTTAGATATATTTAAAATGGGTACATTAAAATTAATAATTTTGTTTAGCATGGTATATCATTGGTGGAAATAAATTGATAGTATGTCTCAGATTTTAGTATTACTTGATATATAATATATAACACTACTTTTGAATATTTTGCAGCATTACCTTACGATGATTGGTGCTATTGTTTCGATCCCATTTATCCTAACACCAGCACTATGCATGAAAGAAGATGATCCTGCTCGAGGCCATATTATATCAACTATGATATTCGTAACAGCTATAGTAACGTTTCTACAAGTTACATTTGGTTGCAGGTATATGATTTTATAAATAACTGTAGTAGTGCTCAACCATGTTTTAAAAATCCTTCAACATTTTTCATCAACTACCCACCCACCAAAATATTAAAGCATAATAGTAGGTACAGAATAAAATTTAAGATGGTATGGCAACTTTTTTTCCTGTCACCAAGAGCTAAATTTCAATAACTATTATGATTAACTAACATAAGTTATTTCAGACCATACGTAACACATTAGGCTATTCCCATACTATTATGCTTCACGTCAGTGCCGTAACCAATATTTATTTATTATTTTTTTTGGATAGGGGGGCTTAATTTTTGATTGCCAATAAGTACAAAAAATTAAGTTTGCACTGTGTATTGCTGACAATATAATTCGTATAATTATACATATTATAAAATTAAGATCATAAATAAATACATAAAAAAAAAAAAAAAAAAATAATTATGTTGTCGCATGGTCAAGTCGATGGGCTCGACGATGAAGTTGGTCGTTGGCGATTGTGAGCGATTTCGTCGTACGATGATCAGAGCAAATAAAACCGATGGCAGGCGGCCGGTACTCGTTCGACGTGATTTGCCTTCCCGTCCCGCGTTGGTGGGAGAGTTGATGATATCGTGTCTACCCGTAGCGGTAGTGTTAAAAGTGTAGATCGGTTGCTGCGGTGCCTGTACTATGTACCGTGTCAGACCTAGTCGGTGGATACGGAACGAGAGATCTAGTTGCCAGATGCTAGCGGAATGCATCGCTACGGTGAAAGATCGTAAGTACGTCCGACGGCAATGGGGGTGATGAAGCGCGTCACGACAATACCGCAGTAAGGCGCGGACCATCTTGTGCCGTGAAAAATATGTGGCTCAAACATACTCCCTCAATAGGAAGGCTTAGAGAGTAAGGATTCAATCAACGAGCATTTTAGTAGGACTGTTTCGAATCTAAAACATTATTACCCATTGGGTGGGTATTGGGTAACACTACTATTTCCGCAACTGGTTGAGTGATCTGGCCTAACTAGAAAGATATTGATACGAACGGGAAACCGTCGTGTCCTAGTCGCGGCAATGGCACATGATCGTGCCTAAGCAAAACTGGCGCGCTGGACGAGAAGCTTGAGGATGTCTGGCCTTAGGGAGCTCACCCTGGCACGACCGTCCGGAGGAAGAAACTGCGTGATTAAATAAAGAGGTGAAGTGTTGTCGGTGTAAAAATCCGTAGGTATGGACTTTTCAAGCCCCACTACACACAGAAAGATGATCCGGTCCTAGCGCGTCAATAACCGCACAATGCGTACGATGTCATCGTATTAACGCGCTAGGTGACGATTTTCCGTTATGGGTACTTAAAATGCGGAACTGCTGTTGATCATATTTAAAAATAAACATTTTTTTTATTTCACATCCTTAACTGAAAACCTTTGGTTTGAGTAAAAATTGCCACCTTGTGAATTTTTATAGAGAGAAATTTGTTATGAAATGCACTATAATTTTTTATTCCATATGATCTCGAGGAATTAAAAACAAATCTTTACAGACTATTTAAGCCTTTTGTATCTTTCAACAAGTCTTATTGTTATTGTTACACATTGTATCGCTATCTTATCTACCATTTATTTTTAATAATTTGTAATGTCATTCTTGACTCCATGTACCGATTATTATTATTTATTTATTACATACCAAATGTATGTAAATAATAATGATAAAATGGTTTATTCTAAATAAATATTTGATATTAATACCGTTATATAACTAGTTAATCACATTTTATTTTATTGACTTATTAAACGTTATTAAATTTTGAAATAATAGTCGTGCTTTAATTGCATATAATATTGTTTATTACGATTTCCTGAGCCCCACAATAAAGATAATTATTTATTTAGCTTAAATAAGCCATTAGAACAATTTAAATAATATACTTTTAATATTTTAATCAATAATCTAACCAATTAATTTTTTATTTATAAAAAATTACATTGTTGCACCGTTTAATAATATTTGATTTTGGTTAAGTACCTATACCAGATTACTATTGTTGTAATAAATAATATAAGATATTAAGATTTTTATTTTAAATCTCAAAAAGCAATTTAAAAATAATTTAGGAATAGTTTAACTTAGCTGACCCGGCAATGTTTTGCTATTATAAGACTTCTCAGACATTAATTTGTTATTTATTCTCTGGATATTAAATAATTACATATTTTTATTTTATACCACTTTAAGTCACTTCTCTATGGTAATGTGGCCGTAGAAATTTAACGTCACTACTGCGGATTCTTCATAATGTTGAAAAAAATATATTTATCACCTGTGTCAATAGAAAAATTGATGCTTATTGCAAATTTTTTTCATTTAATAGATTTAATGTATAATTAGTGTTCGTGTATGTAAATGTTGCAGTTAAAACTATGGATGGAATATAAAAGATATGAATTATGTCAGTATTTTAATAATTCAAAGATTTAAAAAATTTCTTTCTAAACGACCGTTGTCAACTTTTTCTGGATCGGGAGCAAAAATTTGGATGACACACGTGACAAGAGGAATGGGGGCAGTTGACCGTGAAAAAAACATTGAATGCTCAGGTCAATTCTAACAACTTTAAATGTTTGTCTCTGTGCTAATTTAATAGGAAATTGAATGCGCTTAAACTGAAAAGGTAGATCTGTGGGTGCAATTGGTTGGGTGTGATTACTTAAAGAAATAAATATTAATAAATAATAAGTAAAAAGCAGAAAAAAATGTAAAAAATGGCACTTAATGGGATTCGAACTTGAGATTATCTATTAAATTATATTTAAGTGCCACTGCGCCATAGGGTTTTTCAATATGCGCCTCTAATTAAATGGTTATTTAAATACCTTATGTCTCTGAAGCATAAATCTAATTGTATTTTAGAAATATTATTAATCAAGTTATACGAAAAAGTTATACATAAAAACTTTTTTTGGTTAATTACCTATCCAACAGTGAAAACCGCATAAAAATCCATTCAGCCTTTCGGAGTTTAGCCCAAACAAAAAAAAAAAAACGTCTTTGTTTTATATTATGTATTGATAATAATTTATAACATATTATTATTTTTATTTCTCAACAGACTTCCAATCGTACAAGGAGGAACAATTTCATTTCTTGTACCCACGTTAGCAATTTTGAAACTGCCGCAATGGAGATGTCCATCAATGGGAAGCATTATTGAAATGACTTCTTATGATCAAGAAGAACTTTGGAAAGTTCGTATGAGAGAGCTTTCAGGCGCAATAGCTGTATCGGCTATGTTTCAGGTTTTACTTGGATATTCCGGTAAGTGATCACATGTATACATTATATGTCATATTATATATTTAACTGCAGTGATCCGTTTTTTGTTGAATCTAAATATTTAATCATGAAGTTTAGGTGAATTAAATCCCAAATTATGAAGTTCATTAAAGAACCTGAATTTTGAGTCTGGGTGGAATGTGATACGTACTTGACTTTATTTAACTGATCTAGTTAACTATTTAATACTTTCAGGTCTTATCGGAAAACTGGTTAAGTACGTGACACCACTGACGATCGTTCCGACTGTGTCGCTGGTGGGCCTATCACTGTTCGAGAATGCTGCCGAATCGGCTTCCAAGCACTGGGGCATATCTATGGGGTAACAACTGATCGAATTTGCATCAATAACAATAACATGAATAGAATAACGTGTACCTATGGTATAAAAATAATTTAGTATCCTAAATAATCCAATTTATCTCAGTAGCGTTGTACATGAATATCGTGAGAGCTATTGCGTATAGAAAACAACCAACAAATTTTTAGGTAATAGGCCGGTTTTAATCCATTACTCAAGACTGCTTGTCTAATTCTAAATCACTTGGTATAATCAAATATTAAAAATACGCAAGGAGAACTTTATACTGTTATATGCATATTAATACGAATATTATAAACGTATAGAGTATACGTGAATAACTTCATGATAAATTATTATAATTATAATTATTTATTAATGCCAGGAAATTCGATGGGATTTAAACATTGTTTGGCATCCACATATCAAATGGAAGGAAACCATAAAATTTTATTTAAAACAATTTTAACATAGAATATAACATTTCTAAATCGCAATATTGAAATTAATCAATATCAATTAAAAGTATTATGGTTTGCATTTATTATGAAAATTAATTTTCACTGAACCTGGAAAACTTTGGAAAATGTATGGTTTATATATGTCACTTTTAAATTTGCTAGTATTATTCCTTGATTGTACAAACGAAAAGAATTTAAAGGAAATGTTGGAACATGTGTTTAAAGCTTTTATCCAAACTAATTCAAAATATTTATTAAGAAATATTATTAGAAGACATAATAATAACAAAATTTATCTATTAGTTTAAGCTTTGAAATAACTTTTATTAATAACAATAACAATGTATATACCCTCTTTATTTTTGATATGTAAGATACTAAACAACGAACAAATCTCATTGTTTGAACAATTTAAGTGAAATGTGGTATAGTTTGTTTTATAAAGTATTTAAAATAATAATTCAAGTTGTTTTGCAGTAAAACTAAATTTGGGTGAATGTAGAAAAAAATTATATTCTAATAATCAGTATTAAAGAAAAAAATTACAAATTAACTAATTTTTTAAGCCTTACTATTTTTATTATGATTTTATTTTTAAAATTTTAATTTTTAATAGCTGTACTCTTTCTATTTCAAACCTTGGATATAATTTCATATTACTTCATAAATAATATAAAAATACTAAAACATTTACGATTTTTTTGTTTGCAGAACGATCATACTATTGACGTTATTTTCACAATTCCTGACGAATGTCAAGTTGCCGGTCCCGACGTACAACAAAACTAACGGATTTTCAACTACTAAATTTAATGTATTCCAGTTGTTTCCGGTGAGTATCTATTTTATATAATCATAAGAATAATAATCACTGATATATAACTATAGACTATATAAGTACTGTTTTCGTATATTGGATAATAAAAACAGCCAACTAGTAGTAGACTTCTTGCCTCTTATTTTGCCAATACTGTCGTTGTTCCGTTAATGTTGAACCGTTCCACTGAATTCTTTTCTTCACGAGCAGGTATACTGGAAAAATCCTGCCACTACCATCTAAACACAGTGAAGTAGGCATTTACCACTCTCAGGACTTTCAATTACTTTAAAATATAAAATATATTTTCTAGGAAATTATCATATAAACATGATTAATGATTATATATTATGTTTTCGTTCCAGGTATTGCTAACTATAACAATTATGTGGATTCTGTGCGCATTGTTAACCATATATGATTACTTTCCAACCGGACATCCGGCCAGAACCGATGTCAAGATCCGGATTATAGGTGATTCGTCATGGTTCCGAGTGCCGTACCCTGGTAAATATAATACGATTACATCACGCTTAGGCGAAACGTAGGTACTTATTATAATGTACAATTCACCTAAGTTATTAGTAATATTTATGACATTCTAACATTTGTATACGTACTTTGGAATTCAAAGGTCAATGGGGTTGGCCAACCGTTAGCGTAGCCGGTGTCATAGGTATGTTAGCTGGTGTACTGGCGTGTACTGTTGAGTCCATAAGCTACTATCCGACAACAGCCAAAATGTGTGGTATGTATTTACATAATATAATAAACAGCTGTTTCTTACTTCGTTCTCATCTTATTTTATAATTGTGTATTGGGATATTATAAAACATTGAGTTACACGAGTAAGATACTGCAATAATTAGTGTATTGCTATACAATGTACACGGTTGGGCGTTGACCATATAAGAATTGAACATGGTGAACGAAATTTTGAAGATCCAACAAATGATAATAATTAACAATAATTTAGGTGGACAACCACTAAAGAAGGCGTGTTATGGTATTTTAAAATGTAGGACAATTTAAGGTGAACCTTCGTACAAACAAAAATTAGGCCAAAGTCGGTAATATTCGCGAGCGCGATGGCTTGAATTTCGGAGTTACTACGACACTTTAAGAAAAAAAGTAATTGATTATGTTTATACAATTCATAACATAATATTTTTAGAGGACGCCATGCTCTCAAGTATTACTTGTACCTTATACACGTAGCAAACTAACAAATCTACGTATTAGGTTTCTGCTGTCAAATTTTTAAAGTACTTAGATATAAATTATTTGAGAACAAGGAGTTTTTTCCTTCATACTTTAATTTTAAAATGAGTTAAAAATACTCATATAATAATTTGTTAAAACTTATTTTAATACAAATAAATAAAAAAAAAAAAATTATTTGAGCACAATTATTAATATTTTCTTCTACGAATTTGATAATGAATAAATATTTTCTAAAATGAACTAGAAATAAACTTTAATTATAAACCAATACATATATTTGCTATATGCTTTACATGTATTAGACAGAGAACTCATATAGGTAAAAAAATTTCTGAAATTATTAATCCTACAAAAAAACTAGATCCTAGTTCAATACTGGTGATTTGGACGGTAGTACTAAGTTTGTTGATGATTGCGATAAAAAATAATGGTTTTAATTAAAAGTCTACTTTAATCAATTTCACACTGTGAATTTATTCCATAAGTATGAATAACGTATACTTAAGTTAGTTTTTTTTATCACAGATTACGAAATCAAGAACCAACAAGTACTTAAAAAAATTGTTAATGTAATAGTCTTATAATTTATAATAATTACAAAAACGAACCACGAAATGTATGCTGACAATAACAGATATTTAACATTAGACAATAAGTAAATTGATTTATCTTTATGAATATTAGGAGCTCCTCCACCACCAGTACACGCTATTAACAGAGGAATTGGATTCGAGGGACTTGGAACGGTATTCGCTGGACTCATGGGAAGTGGAAATGGTACCAACACGTTCGGGGAAAATGTTGGCGCGATAGGTGTTACAAAGGTGACATAAAAATGATACAATATGTCATTCTGTATTTACAGTTATGCCCTCATCTTACATACACATAATAGAAAATTTACTTTAAAATAATATTTAGGTAAAACCTATCAAGTTTAATAAGTTTTAATATTGAAACTAATTTTGACTTATTATTATAAAATTTAAAATTAAGACCATCATGCTTTAATAACGTTTGTAAAGAGGTTACAACAATAAAGATTTTAAGTCCTCTTGAATAAATATTGTTATTTTCCTAAAAATTGTATTGGTTTAAGTTTTTATTAATTCTAAGTTTATTTATGTAGATTGGCAGCAGGCGTGTAATACAGTACGCCAGTGCATTGATGTTAATTCAAGGCGTTGTCAATAAATTTGGAGCAGTTTTTATAATCATTCCCGAGCCTATTGTTGGAGGCATGTTTTGCATTATGTTCGGAATGATAAGTGCATTTGGTAATAATTATGACATTTAAATTGAACCGAATCGTTTGTCAAATAACATAAGATAATATTTTTATATCTTAAACTTTATTTTAAATTTTTAGTTTTTGAACATAATCAATTGATTTATCAATCAATACTTAATTATTTCACAAAAAAAAAAAAAAAAAAAAAAAAAAAAAAACAATTAAAATAGAAACTCCGATTGTCATGGTATTATAGTATGGTCGTTGTTAGTTATAGAAGATGAATTAGTTAAATAATATTGGCATCCGTTGTTATAATTCAAAAACTATAAGTACCTACTAAATTAAGTATAAACGTTTACCCTTAAAACATATTTAAAACGTGTCTAGAAATTATATGATTACATGAACAATATTTTTTTCTGTTTAGTTATTATTGCATTTATTTACTAAGCTTATGATTTGTTTTATAGGCTTATCAGCTCTACAATACGTTCAGTTGAATTCGTCGAGGAATTTGTACATCATTGGATTTTCAATGTTCTTTTCACTGGTAAGTGCATTAAGTTTTTACATTCATTTATTCAATAATGTATATTGTATATAATTATATGGATTTTTGCTATGTTCATCAAATCCTATCAAAATTAAAGTTATCACATTTCCCAAATTTGTCTTTACATACGTAGTGTATGTATAAAAATCTAGTGTAGGTATTAGACTTCAGCATACCATAATCCTAAGACATACTCTTGAAGTTATTGACGTGTCATTGTGGATCAGATTTATTTTCCTGTAATCAATTCCAATATAGTAAAATCTACTGAAAAATGTGTTTGTGTCCATTTTTATTAGGAAAATGATAAATTGAAAAATTGTTTTCTAAAAAGTAAAAAATAACTTTCTTTTCAAGTACATTAATATTTTTTTTTTTAACTTTGTTTTTTTCTGATAAAATCTAAATTATTTTTAATATCAAAGGTTTTTTTTTAGTTTGTTGTTTCCATTATTAGTATTATTTACAGAAGAAATTATTTTATCTTGAGCATTTTTTTTCAATTTATCCAGCACTAGTTTGATATCTTTAATAGCGGTTCTATAGGTTATGTCATATAAAATTGGTAGTTAACTAACCGCAAACTGTATAAAATAAAACACGATAATAGATGTAACTGTCAAATATAAACTGCATTATTTTCGACTATATACGCGTATTATTACACGATAATAATTATTATGAGTACATTTTATTTTTTATTTTATTTGCGTAGACTAATATTAAATTTTATAGTAAAATTATAATATAATATAATGTTTATGTTTCATGTATATATTATATAGTATTAAGTTTTAGTTTGTGTTAGTAAATTATTAAAAACATTAAAGGGCAATAATTGTGCAACAATTATATTTAATTTCCTTAACAATTCATTTGTTATCTGTGAATTAAACAATTATGATTTAATTTTTTTTTTTGTTATCAAACAACTTCTCTTAACCTATACCAATTCGATCATGTACGATTTCAGGTTTTACCAAAATGGATCATCGCTCATCCGAATGCAATTCAAACCGGAAATGAAATATTAGACAGTGTGTTGACTGTCATTTGCAGTACTAGTATATTGGTCGGTGGTTTGATCGGCTGCTTCTTGGATAATACCATACCAGGTACGACCACAACATAAAAAAAAAAAAATGTAAGTCGCGATTCGTTTAATTAACATGCATTTGTCGTTAATATAGGCACTCCAGAAGAAAGGGGTCTCATAGCTTGGGCCAATGAAATGAATCTGTCAAGTGAACCAACAACAGATGAAGAAACGAGTACTTATGATTTCCCAGTTGGCATGAAAGCGTTAAGAAAGTTAGTATTGAATTAATTCATTTGATACGTTATGATCGATAAGTAACTACGAAATTTGATGAAATCCTTTTTAAAAATGGAATCTAAATTATATGAAAATTTTAACGAAGCTGTTGTACTGAAAAGAACTAAAAAATACTTTTATTAGTTAATCAAAGTATTTTGAAATAATTAATCATTTAAAACAACGAAAGCAAGAGAAAAAAATAGATTCAAAATTACTGAAGAATTAGAACGTAAAATAATACTAGGAGCCAAAAAAAATAATTATGCTAATAACTGTAGAAGGTGCAAAATTGTATGTTTAGTTATATTATATTCAATTAATTCTATGGAATTAAATTTATAATGAAAATAAAATTATTGTTTTTTTCTTTTTATAGATTTATTTTAATTTAACATTATCATTTATTTAATTTAAATATAATATAGATACCAATTATATCATATCATTTTAATGATAACAAAATTAAATTATTGTGTTCTTAAAACATTGTAATTATAAAATAGCACAATCTGTGTATTATATGTATGTATGTAAATTAAATTATATATATTCTTATTTTTAACTTTTTCAGAATGAAATGGACGTACTCAGTTCCATTTTTACCAACCTACAGACCAAAGAAAAATTAGAATTTTCATTATGTGTATTTTATTAATATGATTTATAGTAAAATTATAAAATAATGTTTATTGAATTGTATGTATACTTTGGTCTTCTTATTTGTACTATAATTTGTATACCTTAAAAATATAATAATAAAATTTAATCAAACATACGTAGATTACTCGCAAACTAATTACGTCTCACAATTATTTATGATTATTAATTATTTATTATTTATATATCTGATAATAAAATAAAATATAATACAATAAAATAATCTATAATCACTCGTTATTGAACGATTAGATTCACGATTAAATATACTACACACGAATATTCATGACAGCACACTAACACAGTTTACAACTTTTTTCAAATAGAGTTTAAAATAATTAGGATTTCCAAAATTCACCCATTTCGACCATTTCTCCAGCCTTTTTATAAATAACTATTTAAAGCACGTCCGCTTTGGAAAAGTGTCTGTTGATTCTGTCTGTTCAACTGCCGCTGAACTGCTATAATTTGTTGCCAAATGTATTTTCTCGAAATACACTTAAATCAGTTTCCCGCTCATAGGTTCTAACATCAGTAACTATAAAATTTAAATTGACATTCACTACTGCCATCAACACAATAGAAGATATTGTTTATAGTTATTAAAATAGTGAGCCCGCATTATTCGGATTTTTACATCTGATGTGTTGGCAACTGAATAACGATTACACACAAATTACAACTACAATTGGTTTATCTAAATCTTCGCATCAGGACACATGATTAAATTTTAATTTTGCCCAGGATAGAAATCGATTCATTTTCTAATATCAGCTATTAACTATGATAAATTTGATCAAGAAATTCGTTACACGCGTGCCTCTTTATTTGAAAAGATCAATGCGCCTTAAACTTTGATAAAAACTTGACAAACTTATTCTAGCGTAACACGCTTTTATAAAAAAATATCATGATTTTATATTTTCGATACTTTTTGAAGGATTTATGAAAAACTTTAATTATGACTATTAGGCACCTTGTATTAAATGTCCAAACATTTTGACTGATTTTTTCAACATTTCTTTTAAATTGCCTATATCAAGCCCCCCAATAATCGTGTATGTTGTGTAACGTCGTCAATATACTTACGAATTGCAATCATATGCAATGTTTATAGACTTATTTTGCAACAATATTATTCTTTTTTTAATTTAAATACAAAAATGAAGTACCTATCTACTTATTTACGATTCTAGGTATAATAATTAACCATAAAAATAAATTAACCAATAGGTAGGTATTTGAAAATTGTAAAAATATTGTTCAAACTTCGTAAAAATGCATTGAACTTAGTACGAATTCTTATACAACACTGCGAATAGCATTCGCTATCGTAAATACGTTTAATTCAGAGTATATTAATCGATACTTATCGGTGAGACGTATTTTTATTATGTCAATTTATTCCTAACGAATTGTGTAGAATGAGTGACAACGCGCGATGTGACCAGCAGATCGCGTTACCATTTACAAGAACAGACGTTATAATAATTAATTAGAGAATTGGAAACAAAATATATAACTAAGTATCAAATTATACTGATCGGTGTATAAAAAAAAAAAAATGAATTGTTAATTAGTTTACACTAATGATAATATCTTCATTTATAATAAAAATTTCTACAAACCGAAAAACTGAAAACTTAATTATTTCAGTTAAAAAAAATAAATAAACATTGAAAAATATTTAAATGTGTTTATTTAACATATTGCTCATCTTCGGTTGTAAGTAATTAGATAATATACAATACGTGCGATATCGTCTAATAGTTTAAGTTCTTTTTTTTAATTAATAATATAACTATATAATTGTTACTTAAAGATAAATATAATGTATATAGATATTTATTTGTTTGTTAGTAGGTAGTCGTGACTTAAATAAAATTGTAAAAAAATATCTATAGGCACTTTTTAAAAAGAAAAAGTTACTATTGTTAATTTCATAATCATTATATTTAAAACTGTTAGATCGCCTTAAATGTTTTGTGGTTTAGACTTTAATTGTAAGGTTATTTTATGTACTTCCCAAGATTCAATCACTGCAGTTTTGAATGTAGATATGTCTACCTACACATTCATTAGCCTTTTTTTAAGTTATATACGTAGAAAAAATATATTTTTATTTTTTTATCGCACTAACGTTTATTAATGTATAAAATTATAAATTAACATTCCGTTTATAAAACATTGCTAACATTTTAAATTGTTAGCCTAAATATCCTTAATATTATTTATTTTAAATTAGATAAAAGTATCAAATTTCCTATATTATGGTTCATCTATACTGACTATCGAACGATTGAATGATAAACAATTAAATCTGAAAATAAACCATTTCTGTTTCATGATGCAATAGATTATCCGTAATTCTCGCATGTAGGGCCTAAAATTTTCTATTTTTTCGTGCTACATACATAACGTATTTTAATTAAACGTTTGTAACAAATGATGTAAAATTAATAGTAATAATAAAGAAAAAAACATTATTTGCTACACATATTTGAATTTTATAGTAAAAATTTAATTTTTTGTACTACACAAAATGTGTCGTAGAACACACAATTTTAGGACCTGATCGTATAGAAAAGTATCTAGTTCACTGACTGAATTTTAGAATGCTAATAAATTATTTTGATTTATCATTATAACAATAATTATCACAGACTTATCAATTTATTCTAGAAAAATAGTGTTATTTTCAAATATAAATTGTAATTATTGTAATTTAAAATCAATAAATATCTAAAATTCTTAAAAATATAAATGTCAACAATTGTAAACCAAAATAAATGTATATAAATGTACCTTAATAATTATAGTTAATACGTGTAATCAATGGTAAATTTCTATAATTTATATCAAGCACTACAGTGATACGGTGTATTGTAATTTACGATTTAAACTAAAATATACAGCGAGTAATTTATGTCTTTGTAAACATGGATTTTTGCTGACTATAATAATTAATATGACATTTCAAAAAAAAAAAAAAAAAAAAAACTAAATACAAGTTTCTTTATTTTTAAATGATAATTTTCTGTTAAAATTTTAAAACTTATTAAACGCGCAATTAAAACTAATTGCGTTAATTACAATTTCAACTAAAACCAATTTTATTTATTTTTGAATAGTAATAAATTAGATACTAATTACTAAGTAATAACTAATAACTATATTTTCTAACGAATTTGTTAGAGATTTTTCTTTTGAAAATATTGATGGTCAAATTATCAATTTTATTTTACTAATAAGTAGTTTATAAACTATAATCTTTTGAAGTTTAGGTAATAAATTAATTAATAATTTCAATTGAAATATTTAAAATAAATTTAATTTATCAGAGCTAAATCATTCTTAAAACTATTTTTTTATACACTTAAATAGCTAATCGATTGCCAAACACAGAATTATTCATTTTTTGGAGAAATATATACAAAACAGTTGAAAAACATAGCTCATTATTATATAATCATAAAACAAGGATCTATAGGTACCTAGTGCAGTAGTATCTACTAAAATGTCTATAATGATCTTGTATAATCATTATTAATTGATTATTTTACATCGTTTTTTCAGTTACTTTTCTTACAACACTATACAATTTTCATAATATTTATATTATTATGTTATTGAAAGCAAAAATATTTATTTAAATTTATTATGATTACAAATTTTATAGTTATTATTATTTTTATTTTGTATTCTTTTAGATTTCCAAAATAATTAAAGATTATTGTAAAAGCTAAAAAAAATCAAAACAAATTTTTATTTACTATTTATTGATATCTTACTGTATAATATTTAATGATATTAAATCACAAATATTCTGTCATGTAATATATTTATTAATATTTTTTAAATAAATTAATGACAAAAAATGTAAATTTATATTTTAATTTGGCATCCCATGTTTTTGGCTCTTTGTTAGAGACATTAGAGTCTATTGGCTTTGTAATATGTATATATTGGCCTGGTAAGACACGTTTTAAAATTTAATTTTAAAGAGAAGAGAAATAATTCTTATTTTTATTTTTTTATTTGCAGATAATTATTCCTTTTATTTTTAACTTTTGAAAATTTCGATGGATCCAAACTTCAAGGTCCACCCCTGGATACGTGCTTGGCTTGATTAATATTTTATTTTGGCGAACCTGTAAAAAATTGAAATAATATTATACAATTAAACATAATGTTAGTTATCTGTTGCTATATAGGTATTTAAAATCTACCGAATCACTGAATCATAAAAGGGCTATAGTCTAGATTTATGTCTATAATCTACGTAGTATAAAAATTTCCACAACTTCCCGTCATGCCGCGTCATTCTAAAAAACAGATTTTGCAGTATAAATTTATAAATCTGAAAACGAGTGCTTGCAGAACGCGCAGTTTAATCTAGAAGTTAATAATATACAAACTATTACCTTTACAAGTAATCGATGTTTCACTGGTAAATGATATTTCGAATTTCAGATTTTGAACTCGATGTCCACGCGTCATATTATGTACACTCACACGGCATGCTTACACGTACTTAGACACCTACCTATAAATGTATATACGAATATTATACATATATATTATTATACACGCCGAGGACGGATGTTTGTTACGAAATAATATCGCTTAGGAGGGGCTCCTGTTCGTTATTCAGCGCTGTCAGGTAGTTCATTATTATTATTTTGGATGTGACAACAATCAGTTGCCACTCGTATATTATGTGCGTGTGTGCGTTAGGGTTGGGAGAAGAGAGGTGTCCCGACGAAATTGAAATTCGACACCGAAACAGAGAAAAAAAATAGTAATAATGATAATACACAAACGCACACACGTTTTTCGCACTGTTCGATGTAAGGGACGAATGCCCGTCTGTCTGTCTGTCTGTTCATTGTTCGTCAAGCCACCGATTGTGTGAGATCGTTCCAATATAATATAATATAATATGTACATGACGTATATGCATACGAATATACACATATAAACGTTGTTACATCGATGAGCGGGGCTCGACTGTTGCTGAGAGAGAGAGAGAGAGAGAGAGAGAGAGAAAGCTTTATTATTATTATTATTATTAAGTCCCGGTGA